CGCATCAAAATAACCCCCCGATATGGACGGGAAGCTAATTATTAGCCCCCCCCCCTCCATTCTTGTCGACAATTTGATCTATAAACAAACACAAAGAAATACAGAATGTGATTTTAAGTTACTTCTTTGTGATAATTCTTAAACATGAGTGGTTTGTGTTACCTGTTTATATCTGCGCACATATCTGCTGAAGTAATTCAATCCCCTATTGTTGTCATTATTAATGACAGCGTGGATCGGGAAGAGCAAGGAAAGTGTCCGGATGGGACGTAAAGTCCAGGTTCACCCAGTGAATATTGGCATGTACGTAAAAGTACTAAAAAACCCTTGGCAGTTGGGATTCAAAGAAAAGTAGGTGTAATCAACGCTCCCCGGCAAAATCTCCCCTCAAATTTTGCACGTAATCATCGAAGTGAAATTTAGCATATTATGTTAGATGACCAACATATTGTATTTAACGCATTCCTTTCTATTACATTAAATTTGGGACTGATATATATGTATACGAATATTCATTGTTCAGTCACAATTTGTAGGTCTGCCGTTACGGTTACAACCATAACAATCCTAAGCGGTCAATAGTGAAAGTCATTGCAATCCCTCGGCCAGGGATCAATGAAGTGTCATATTAAAATGAAACCCAAGCATGCTTACAAGATCATCATCAAAACATCGAAATTAACCAATCAAATAAATTTTTAAGTTGGCAAATGTCTTCTGAGTTTCTAAACTGGTAAAGTAAATGCCCGATTAATTCTATTGTATATTATCTAAGGTTACAAAGCAATAATTTATAGGATGACGGCTTTTATGCACAAAGGGCGACCTTGACATGTTCTGTAGAGTGTGACTTGATTTCAACTGAATACATTAAAGAGAGAGAGGAAATGGGGTTTAACTTTAACGTCCACTCGACAAAAACCAGGTCATTTCGAGACTAATATGGTTCAATTTTATTTCAATAATTCGCTTGCGCGTAGGAACCTTTAGCAGTGGGAGGAAACCCACAAGATAGGACAGGGGACCGGGCCTTACTCCTTGTCAGGTACAACCGGGAAATCGAAACCACGCCAGTTGACTCAATGACAGACCTTATGATACAACACGCATGCGCTAACCATTCGGCCATTCACCCCCTCCCCGCCCCCTTTTACTAGAATGGATGACCATAACCACCGTTGTGCACGGCACCTGTTACTACTGCTAGTGGATGCGGCGATACAACCTAATCAGCAGTAAATATTCGCGTGGCCGCTAATGTTACTGATTGGGATAACACCCGTAACAGTTAATTAGCTCTTAATATTAACTTTTTTATTCTGCAAATTAAATTCGAAAATAAGTTTTTAAATTATTAAAAAAAAAAAAAAATGTGCTGGATGTATATCTGGATAAAAAATATTTCCTATTTAGTGTAAATGGGTACATAAATAGTGTGCAAAATGAGTAAAAGGCACCAATTCTACCTGGACACACCTGGTGTAAAGTGCAATGTACGGACTATCGACCCCGCATGATGGGACGTCACACGCAGCCATATACTGCACTTGAATTTTAAGATAAGTCATCTTGCACGAGTTAAAAGAAGGCTTTCGCATTACCTATGTGTAACAGATTTGTGGCCATAGTATACAGTTTTATATAGTTTATGTTATTTTATTCATCCCTTTATGATCAGACATGATCAATGTGTATTACTTAGTGTCGTTTTGACTAGGATTCTATATTCATTATTGAATATCTCCAGGCCACCTTAATGCATAAGGGGGGTTGGATGGCTGAATGGTTAGCGTGCGCGCGCTGTATCATAAAGTCTGTCATTGAGTCAACTGGCGTGGTTTCGAATCCCCGGTTGTACGTGGCAAGGAGTAGGGTCGCCTGTCCAACCTCGTGGGTTTTCTCCGGGTCCTCCGGTTTCCTCCCACTGCTAAAGACCCCTACGCGCAAGCGAATTATGTAAATAAAATTAAACCATATGTTAGTCCCGAAATGACCTAGTTTGTGTTGAGTGGACGTTAAACCCCATTTCTCTCTCTCTCTCTCTCTTAATGCATAAATTTCGTTTTTTGGGGTGTTAGAAAATGTTCCGACATAAATTATTGCTCTGTGGCGTTAATTAATTTACAGTTAAGGTAATTAAGGCCTTTTTTTACCATGTCACGCTTTAAACAAAAACTGAACGTGAGAAAATTGTGTAATGTTCAATAGTTTCATTTGTTTTTTTCTCTTCTTTTTTTGTTCCATGTCTTAAAATGGATTTGTCTGCCCGTCACACTTTTTGGGACACAAAAACCCTGGTTCTTTTTGGGGGTTAAGGTTAAAACTTGTTGCAGTGGGTCATAAAATAATCTGTGAAAATCTAGGTGCTGTACCATTTTGGTCCTTAAGACAATATCGGTTCTTTGAGAATTGTTGCTTCACTCTGTCTATAGAGTCAAATCACACGTACATAATGAACATGAATATATAGTTATGAAAAAAATAAAACAGTGATATTTTGGTAAATCATAACCATTTTCAAAATATCCATCAAATTCTATCTGTTTATTGACCTATGGTTGGCAGACCAAATAAGGTAATATTTCCTCCTCTGGTCTTGTGAAATAAAGAGGTTAATTCCATATTTGGGATGGAAATTAACGTCAAGGCTATCTAAGACGTGCATAAATTAGGGGGTTATAAAAGAGGGTGTTGAGCGAAACTGGGCAGAGCTCACACAGATATTCCAAGCAGCTATTATTATTGAAAACGAGGAACCTTTAAAACCATTACAGTTTAACAGTAAAGTTGTAACAACCATTTATTTTGTAGTGTTATTACACAGACAACAAGGAAAGAAGTCCGATAATACTACAGTGCTAATATATATACGTAAAGTACAAACACCCAGAATAAACCTGTGTATATTATATGGACTTAATTGCATAACAATAACAGCCGTTCTTTTTTTTAAAGTACATATTGTTTACTTTTGAGATGTATGCGAATTATCTGTCCCGGTTTCACAAAACATTCTCAGACTTAGTTAAGAATTTACTCAAAATTGTTCCACTTATTTTAACTAAAATATAGCCTTATATAAAGCTTTTGTTATTTTAAAGGGCGTATGGCTCTATTTTTAAAAAAAAACATAAATGGTTCTAAAAGCACATATTAAAGGGACAATAACACTCTTGCTGGCTTGACAGCTCCAGTAAATAAATATTAGCCTTATTCTAAGTATTAGATATTTAAGTGTCTTACCTGTTGTGTAAATTATCCATTACGTCCTATTTTACTTGTCCAGAGGGTTCGAAAATATTTTTAAATCTAAGTCACATTTGAAAAGGTTTACGTCAGGCTTTTCAAATCATTTCGTTGAATTTTTCCATTTTTTAAATTAGGTGTGTTAAGATGAAATTTGTATCATCAATTAATTGGAATACTGTAAAATAGCACAATTTGTTGACCAGAATAAAGATTGGGACATATTATTCTGTTACAACAAGAGTGGTATTGAGCCTTTAAGTTAATATGAGTGTATATAAAGTGATTTATATTCAGTTTTATAAAAAAATTGTAATTTCTAATCAATTATGTTCGGTGAAATATGTGAACAGTCCAAACTGAACGACAGTTGTTTGCGCCTGCTTCGTCTGTTCTAAACGTTTTTATTATTATTATTTTACCATTTGTAAATCAGTCATTACTTTTTACCAGACATATACTAGATGAAATAAATTACATTGTTTAAAATTATCATCCAAATTTATACAAATGTTTCAACTACCAGAGAAAATAAGTTCTATCGGATATATATCTTTATCATGAAATGTTGGAATTAACCGACATTTATGTTAGATACATCTTTGTCATGAAGTCAGATTATACAGTTACATGTAAAATATGTATGTATACATGTATATTATTTTCAAAATTGTAATCAATCGAGGGTTATGTCATACATATGTTACAGTACAAATGGGGTTCAGATACATTAGGCAATATGGTTAGCTACACGATTATGTTAATGGTAATGGAGAACAATTTGTCATATTATGCGAAACCCATTCAGTTGTTATGTTGAAAACATTTCTATTATATTGCAAACATTCTATAGTTATATTGCAAATATTGTGTTTTTATATTGCAAACATTATGTTTTATCGGGATTTTCCGACGTGGTTTCCCCTTGTCAGTGGTGCAGAACGTAGGGCCTGGCAAGGACAGCTGTCTAGTCCTTCGGATGAGACGAAAAACTAAGGTCCCGTGTATAGATTGGAATGCACGTAAAAGATCCCTTGGCAGTTGGAATTCGATCTAAGAGTAGGCGATAGTGCCGCTGCCCGGGCAAAATTTCCCTCATAGCACACTGTATGGCGTATGCCCGTCTTCATTAGCCCAGTATAGGAGCAGAACAGTAGGACGTTAAACCTCATTTCATTTCATTTCATTTCATTATGTTTTATATAATGTTATATTTCAAACATTCTAATATAGGAACGATCTCTGTCTATAATCATGGTCCATGATATCTATAATCAATATATATATATATATATATATATATCCAAAATTATTTGCACAACCGCAAAGCTGCACTACTTTGTTTCACGGTAAATGATGAAAAGATAAAAAAAAGGTATGCCGACACAAACTAATTTCGAAACTGGTTTAATAAGATTTTAACATTTTAAAGTACTTTTCGTCCGTCTTGGGACTATTCATAAATAATGTCATTCTATATATATATATATATATTATATATATATATATATATTCTATGCAGCAATAGAATGTTTGGACATACCAACAAAATGGTTTAATAACATTTTAACATTTTAAAGTACTTTTCGTCCGTCTTGCGACTATTCATAAATAATGTCATTCTATATATATATATATATATATATTATATTCTTTTGTAATGCGTACCAATTTTTATCAAAGGAAATTCTTTATCTGCATGGTATACCACTACTTACATGAATACTCATTTTTCAGGCTATGAGAAGACAGCGCCAACACTAACATGGCACGCTTGAATGAGCAAGAAATGTGGCCATTTATTAGCAGTAGACATTGTATGTATATTTCATATTCATATACGAAGACGGAAAGCCCAAGGTTAGTCCATTTTTATTTTTAAGTTTGAACAATTTACATTGATGTGTGAAAAACAAAAATGTAAAACAAAATAATGAAATGAAAATGAAATTGCTACTGACGCCAAGTTCAAACACCATGAATAATTTACATTGAGTTTTAAAAAGCAAAAACATAAAACATATTAATAATGAAATGGAAATGAAATTGCTATTGACTCTTAAGATCAAACACCAAGAATGGAATTCAGATAATTAATTTTCAGTGTTATAAGCACACACGGGTTGTAATTTGAATATACATGTAGAAATGGTCAACAACAACAAAATAAAATATCTTAAAGATAATATGATGATGTGATCAGGTTATTAATCTTTTTCTTGTTGTATTGGTTGTTCTTTTTTTCTTACTGAGTTTAGTTTTTGTTTAAGTTTCAATAGTTTGTTTGTTTATCCCAATGAAATGAAATAAAAGGAAATGGGGTTTAACGTCCTACTTTTCTGCCCCAACTGGGCTAATGAAGATGGGCATACGCCATACACTATGGGCGGAATTTTATTTGGACAGCGGCACTTCAGCTTACTCTTATTTCAAATTTCAACTGTCAAAGGTTATTTTACGTGCACGCCAATGTGTACACAGTACTCCGGTTTTTCGTGCCATCCGAACAACTAGACACGTTCCCCCAAGATAACTTTTATTATCTCTAAATCCTAATTATTTGTAATAAGATATAGAATATTTAAAATCCATTAACCATAAACTTTTTTTTTTCCATTCATTAAACCATGAATCATATCTGTATATCAATGAAAGCTTGAACCATTAAGATAGTCCACGAACAATTTCTTTTCGTGCAATGTGTTTTACATTTTCGAGGCGACATTTTTTATGTACTCAGGGGCCGTTGTAGTTTTCGAAATCGCAGAATAATTATTATGCGGCAATGTTTCTCTTTTATTTCGATGTAGATTATGTGGATTAGGTAATAATATGTTACGCGTATGTGCAGGACCTTTTGGCCCTAGATTAATTGTAAATTAAGGGAGTTACAGCCCTATAATGTATTTGTAATCAAAACCTGTTTAAAGTAGCTAAGTCTCTAACTCAGTATCATTCAAAGTCTTCGACATTGAAAACACTAATTATTATTTGTCAATTTAAATCAACATTGATGTTGTAATCTTACCGGGAAAAGATGGGCTTTTTGATATCCAATATTTAAGACAAAATAAACATATTACCATTGGTACACGAATCGTGTACCATAATGCGTTTAAGGCCCATTTTTAACAAGGGACTCGAAGGACGAGGCTAGACATATTCCACAAATCATGTCAAACGGTGACGGCATGCGCATATTCATATCTGGAGAGTATGCGCAATAAATGCTATGTAGACTAGAATAACCAGATGCTAGAGATTGTCAGTCGATTGAGACTTCTGGCATATTTCGCCGAACATAACTGATTTGAAATCAGAGTAAAAACAAAAACGATTGAATGTAAATCAGTTTATATACATTCATATTACATTATTATATGCGTTGCGACCCATTTGTGTCAATTTCTAGGCCCCAAATAATAGCGATTTAGCTCCTTTAAAGGAAGCACTTAACCATCCACTACTGTAGCTGTTGTCAACGACGGAAATGTCTAGTAGTGAAACCATTTCTATAGGAAACAGAACGGTTTTATTTATTAATAGTTTTATTATAACAAGAGTTTAATGGCGACGTTTTCAAAGAAATGTATTGTCATGAATTGTTAATTACTATTAGTGTCAGTTACAAGAAAGTTTATCGAGCGCAGCCTATGGCCTTGGGGAAAGCAAATTATTCACGCGGAACTAGTTGACCACTTTGAAAATACATAATTGATTAAGACAAACTAATACAGTTTGCCATCAGAGTATCTTATCAAGGACAGCAGCACTACGGACTATTCTTATTTCGAATATTCCGACTGTAAGGGATTCTTTTAGGTCCACGGGACCTCGGTTTTTCGCACCTTCCGTTCTACACCACTGACAAAGGGTAACCGACCAGGCAGGAAAATACAGATGAACCTTCTCGGCCAACAGCGGCGATAACGAGAGCTTCTGGTTAGCGAACCAGTGTCTTACCCACTAAGCGCCCCTTATTTATTTTTAACACCGTAATTCATACACACTTTTCATATACTCAACTTACACTGTCTGTCTATAATTGTTATGTTTTCGAGTTTTGCCCCCCCCCCCCAACCCATTAAAGTGCAAGAAATATTCGAGCCGCAAAACATGCATGTACCTGAAGCCCGCGGCCTTCCTTGTTCACAAGGGTAGATACATGATTTTTCCATAGGGGTTGGGTGGGTTTCGTCGAGCGTATCGAGGACAGCATATTTGGTGACACTTTAAAGCGATTATGTAGAGAAAACAAGGCAAATTCGACCAGAAATGATATTCGCTGCATTAAAAGAGAGGGGGGGAAATGGGGTTAAACGTCCACTCGACACGAACTAGGTCATTTCGCTGCATTAAAAGAGAGGGAGAGAAATGGAGTTTAACGTAGGGGTCTTTAGCAGTGGGAGGAAATTGGAGGACCTGGAGAAAACCCACGGGGTTGGACAGGCGACCCTACTCCTTGTCACGTGCAACCGGGCAATCGAACCCACGCCAGTTGACTCAATGACAGACCTTATGATACAGTGCGCACGTGCTAAGCCATTCGATCATCCACCCCGCATTTCAAATTTACCAACGCTAGCAAACCTTATAGCATTGTTATCAACATCTGTTTTTCTATTGCATTAAAAGAGTTTGTTACACGTTTTGTTTTGCAGTTTCATATGTTCACACAATATTTCCAACAAAGAGATGTAAGAAATGAAAAAGAGCCAAGTTTTAAGCAGATCGAACTTAATAATTGTATTTTAGGTCTTTGAAGCTTGATAATTACAAATATACTGTTTATTTTTTAAATATAATAAACGATATTATATTTATTATATTTCATGAAATTTTATGTAATTGGCACTCAGTTATACATGTATTTATAAAAAATTGCAAAAGCAGTATCTAAACGGCCAATTAAATTCCATCGGAAAATGAAATAGACACATTTTATGTTATACATGTATAATGACGTTGGAAGCGGGGCGATGCGAACAAAATGAAATTACATTTTCATCTACCAGGTTTTGGCTAAATAACTCTTTTTATGTGTGAACTGTCAATTACAGACTAAGTTGATTTAGTACACACTATATATAATATATACGTGAATATGTGTGAAACTATTAATTTCCCAAAAATATTAATTAATGAAATATAAAGTCATCTTATTTCTCTATTCTTTGTCTATAAATTTAAAAACAATGTCGCAATGACAATATTGCTACATTTCTTCCCCCTTTAAGAATATATATATAAAATATAGATATTCTAACTAATTATTCACGCTTCAAGCAAATATAAATGATTACTATACTATAAAACTAAGCTGTGAAAACCCCCCACAAATAATCAAAAATCAAAAATCAAAAGTCACATGCAAAAGCGCTCCAAAAAGTTCATCACTGTAAAATCCTATGACAATTCACTAAGCCTAAACCTATACACAGAAAACACCAATTGTCTTTTTTAAATCTTCAAGTGTCCTAATTTCAAAACACTATAACACATCACGTAATATTTTATAAAGTTCAGTTTCACTTAAAATTCTGTCTCAAGATTTCTCAATTTGGTAAACTGGTAAACCATTTCTTCTTCTTGGATTTCTATTGGTCTGTTTCAGCTACCATAGTATCAAGTTGGATTTCTATTGGTCTGTTTCAGCTACCATAGTATCAAGTTGAAATTTTTTTTTTTCTTCTAAGTATGATTGGTTTGTACAATTTTATCCGTCAATTAAACATGTCATTGCCATCAGACCAAGAACTAACTATTCCTATATTTTATCATTAACTTTATTTGTAATTAAAATTTATCTTCATTTAGTTATTAATAAACTTTGATGTGTTTCTCTAATTATAAATCTTGAAACTAACTTTGACCTCTTGACCTTATGTTAGTAATCTACAATTTTATAATTTTATAATTTCCGTTTGTGTTTTAGAATTACGCCAAAACAATTTCAGTATTATTTTTTTTTGACCTAATCATTTACAATTTTGTATTTCGTTTTTTTATTAACGCTATCTACTATTACATAAACATTCCCTTTATTATTACATTAGCCAGGATGACACACAGATATGGCCACTATCTGAATGACAACCCATTTTATCCTACAGTAGGACGGTAAACCAAATTTTATTTAATTTATCTATAACTATGTTGAGAGAAAATGGCTGTACACTCCATTCAATCAGAACACAGTCTACATTTATATAAACATTACATTCCAAGCTTTCAGTTACTATATAATTTAATATCATTCAACTCATCACTGAAATCACGTGACTTTTACACACCTCAAATTTACACAATGTGAAAACTATTGTTTATAATAACCAGACATAATGTGAAATTACTCATTGGTAACCACCTCGCATGAACAATTTAAAGCAAAATTTAATTAATGACAAAATAGCATTTAGCAAATGTATATTTAACGTTTATATTACGTTTCTAAAGCAAAATTTAAAATACATAAAATTATATACGGATACAATTTACCGTATATTCCCACTTTTCTAAAAAGTGTCGTAGTCTTACATTAACCTCGTATAATGATAATCTCACAATTTAACGAGCCATTAATTTTAGTTTTCCGAGGAAAAACTATAACCAACATCCCTAGATTAACCATATGGGATTCAAAAGTTAAATTACTTAATTTTGAAACCTTGGACTAGAGCTTCAAAATTACACTACTCCACTTATCTAACCACAATGGACGACACAAAAACACGAATATTAGCAATTCCACCTTTAAGTCAAAAGTTAAATTACGCAATTTCGTCTAACTCGACTAAAACTAAAATCTTGAGACTTTGGACTAGAGTCCCAAAATTACATTAGCATTATATAGCTAATTAATCACACATACGAACGACACAAAAACACAAATAATAGCAATTCAACTTTTTATTCAAAAGCTGAAATTATTCAAATTTAGTCTTACCCGACTAAAACCATAATTCTTGAGACTTTGGACTGGAGCCTCAAAATTATATTATATACGAAACAACAAAAAAACACAAATTAACGAATCACAGTAGAAAGAAACGGCCATCTTGGAAACTAGAGTTAATCACTCACCAACATCATCCTTAGATCTGCCGTCTTTCTACTGCTATCCGGAGACAACATTAGTTCCTTACTTTATTCCCTATTCCGTTTCCTTATTATTATTATTCCTTAGCCATATCAAAAAAAAAAAAAAAAAAATAATTTAAAACCTACTCCCTAGAGACCCTCACTTTAACTTTAATTTTATTACAGGTCATGTTAACCCGATAATATACGCACCTAACCAGTAACATTATATTGTTTACTAAACCTGTCTATCAAAACTAATGAATGGCTATAATGTATTCTCTAACAGTTCAATTTCATATTTAGTTCCTATTCAGATTTTAACCTTAAATTAATATTATTTGGTCTGTAAACAAGTTTAACACATTTAATTTACCAAACAAAATGTATTTACCGACTTCTGCGAATATCTTCACCAGATTTCGTATTTCCACCAAAATTTGTTTTGTTGCTGGATTGTACAGGTTTTCTTCTTCTTAACGTCTTCCAGGGTACCCGATCTTTTAGTCACGGAGCCAAATCAAATATGTATTCTTCTTCTAAAGTGACTTCTTATCCTAAAGGTCGAAACTTCGGCACGGCACCAACTCGAATATGTAAGACTATGCTGTGATATGCAGTCGCTGGTTAGATGTGGAAAATATGCCGGGAGAACTCCCTACACCCAACGTGTGATGCTATGCAGTCGCTGGTTAGATGTGGAAAATATGCCGGGAGAACTCCCTACACCCAACGTGTGATGCTATGCAGTCGCTGGTTAGATGTGGAAAATATGCCGGGAGAACTCCCCACACCCAACGTGTGATGCATACTCTCTTTTCTTCTAATCTTCTTCCAGGTTACTCGATCTCGTAGTCAGGTGCACCAAATCGAATATGTATTCTTCAAGATTCCCTTGAAGGTCGATCCTGTTCACGGCACCAAATCGAATATGTAGTACCATGAGTCTTTAGTCAGACGTGAAGAGCGGGGTGGGAAAACTGGTCGCCACATCCTACATACGACCCATGCATCTTTTCTTACTACATATTTCTGTAGCCTGTGATCGTCTAGAATTTGTCTCTAGCTGTCTTTACTTCTGCTTCACGTTGTGTATTTACTTCTTACTGTTTTCTTAAGACGTTTGTCTTACCAGAAATAACAATGCAACAGTTCGCTTCTACATTTTATATAGCATAGCCGAATACATGTATACAAACACAGATTACAATACAAGCTAAAACCGTTTCTCAACCTCGCGGCTGTCTAGGAACGCAGATGGAACCTCTCTGGAATCTAATGGAAGTCTGATTTAAAAGTTTACTATGATTTCTTTTATAAGTCTTATGGATATCATGCACAATCAAGTCTGATCATGGCCCTGAACTTCTGCAATTAACGATATGATTGGTTAAATTAAGCCAAATGATGCAATGGTAAATTTCCATGCACGTGATATCTCGTGGTATTTTATAGACACATGTTTTGGCTAAATAACTCTTTTTATGTGTCAACTGTCAATTACAGACTAAGTTGATTTAGTACACACTATATATAATATATATGTGAATATGTGTGAAACTATTAATTTGCCAAATATATTAATTAATGAAATATAAAGTCATCTTATTTCTCTATTCTTTGTCTATAAATTTAAAAACAATGTCGCAACGACAATATTGCTACAGCCGGTGGTGACAAGCAGTATTATACGGTGTCCGGATTAAACCAGACTTTATTTTATAAAAATAATGTGTTGGTGAAATATACCTTGTTTACGTTGTTTTGACGTTGTTTACATCACGTGACCTTGACAAAATCTGCACGTGACCTTAATATTTAGATCTGAGAGTCGTTGAGCCCGTGTCCCTGTTCCGCACGATGGAGACGGTGGAGCGAAACCGGGAGTGGAAACACTCTTTAGCTTCGTTATAGTAGTCGATCGAGATAATTAAGTCGATCGATCGAGACAAGTCTTCTAATAACTCTGACGTCTCATCACGCGGCGTACAATCATTGACTCAATGGCGCGTGCATTGTTTACATATGACGTTACAGGTTCGTTCAGAATGGAGTGTTTCACTCAGTTTAATACCCATTTACAATAAATAGGAAATGATTTCTACCTACAAATACGCCAAACGTCTTTATTTATTTTTCAATACACAAAAAAATATTTTAGAATTTAATTTGCCGGAGGAAAAATTAAATATTTGTGGCTCGTAAGTCGCATCGATGTCATCCTTATCAGTGATTGTAGCGGCCTAGCGAATATTCACTTCTGATCAGTGTGCGATCGAGTGTAAATATAGGATTTATTTACATCAGGTATATATAACAGCTACAGTTACATACATACAACAACAATACGGGAACATAAACTATAAGGAACTAGTCTACGACAGGAACACCATTCTGCCCCTCTGCCAAGGCAGCGGCTGAACTTGGGTGAGTCCATGCACGCCCAAGCCTCTCTTCTCCGCCCGTCTATGGTCGTCTCTAGTCGACTGCTTAACTGTCAGCAAACTCCTCGTTATATACCTTCGGACAAATGGTCATACATGCAATTGTCTCTTTTATCTCGTCATGGCATGCTTACTGACCAGTGCGTATTCCTTTGCAGTAAAGCGGAACGTGTGCACAGATCATATGTAGTTTGTAAATGACATATGGGATTAATTACATGTTTAATTAGATCATCGCCAGTCCGTGCCTTAAAGTTGCAATTTCATATTTTTAAGTTATATTTTTAAAATTTATTAATATAAAGCCTTAAAATAGATGGTATCTATAAACAGTCCTACCTTGTTAAAGAATAATCTTATTAATCCTATAATTCACTATTGCCAGTTGAGAAATTGTCAAAAATATCATTTTCAACTTGAAATTCAAACGTTTGAAGATAGCTATTCCATGTGGGGAATAGAAAAACAAGGGAGGTAATTGTGTTATTATTTCCGGGGTCAAAGGATTTGTAAGTGGGAGAATAATACCTATGATCGTATAATAGTGAGTTGACAACCTATTGAGCAAAAGACATAGAAATAATTATGTTTTGACTTTCTTAGAAAATATGAAATTATCGCTTTAACAGAAGTTTATACAGAGTTGAAAAGTCAATATCATATATTTTCAAAACCAGCAGAGGTCATAAAGCTCTATGCACCTAAATGATCGTTCAATTTGATGAAAGGTATAGAACACTTTGTCACACAGTATACTAAGTCGATCGATCGAGATCCATGTAATTAGGAAAAAACAAAATCGTTGGATGTCTTTTTGCAGCCACCGTATTTTAAAGACTCATCCTTTTATATTGCTATATATATTCACCTTCACAGTTCAAGTTAAAAACTCGATCAGTTCTAACCATGGACGTTTAAAACTTACATTGGTTTCTTTTAATTTCACACAGTCATTTCTATGTGTATTAGATGGATACTGTAATAATGATTTGTACTTATGACATAATTATAACTGAGCCGTCTAAACCTTTCGTTCAGATCAAATCATGTACTACAATTATTATAAAATTACCCAAGCCTTTTATTTCATATAAAACTTGATGACGTGTTTTATACTACTTGTTTTTCCCCAGTTAATATTTAGAAACATTTAATGCAAGATGGAGCAATTACAATTTGCAAACGAAAAGGAAGATATGGTGATGGCAGATGAACAACCGCATAGATTAAAATGGAAGAACAAAATGGATTTTTTACTTTCCTTAATTGGATACGGAGTCGGACTCGGTAATATCTGGAGATTTCCATATGTGTGTGCTATGAATGGAGGAGGTTTGTATTCTATCAACAAATATGTTCTATGAAAAATAATTACCATCTGGGTCAACTTAAAAAATAAAATATAATAACTATTTTTGAAATCACCTCCAGTAAAATATAATCCACTGTACAGTTAATTAAATTTTCTAATGCATAAACCGTAGATTGGCGTCAATCATTTCGTACTACAAAGAAGTGACATCTAGGTTCAAGGAAAGTAAATGACCAGGCTATGAAAACAGAAATACACATTTAAAACGTAAAGGAAAATTACAGCTGTAGCATTTTTATACGTCCACATTTCAGTGTGGTATTAGGTTGTCACCCTTTCCGTCGGCCCGTCCCTTAACAAACAGCTTGTGAACGCGACAGAGGATACAGTTTTCAAATTTTGTGTGGGGCATTGTGATCATTTTAGGACGTGTCCTATCGATTTTAAGCGTTCCGTGAACATTTGTATCAGAGTTATGCCCACTTTCCCCAAAACCTAATGACGGGTGTTTTTTTTTTTTTAAATTTAATGGGGTGCATATGGGTCACGAGGGGGTTAACCCTATCGATTTTCAACGTTCCGTGACTTTACGTTCTGCAGTTACCCCTTTTCCGAAAACCCAGTAAACGCGATAGTTTAAAACGGATGTTTTTGAAATTTGGCGGGAAGCACTGGGGTTATGCTGTGATAAATCCACGTCTTCCCGTTCCGGATTTACCCCCTTTGCCAAACGCCTTGTGAACTTGATAGAGATTGCAGTTTTTAATGGAAGTCTTTCAAATTTGGTGGGAAGCTATTAGATCATGAGAGGACGAACACTGTCGATTTCCAGCGTTCCGGATGTTTTGAGTCCTATTGATTTGTAGCGTTGTTGTGATTCAAAACCATGCACATTGCGTATACCTAGTTCGATCTACAGAACAGAATTTAGATGTGACTACATCAAAGGAATCCTAGCAAGTCTTCCATCCTAAACAAAGTCGGTCTATTAAGTCTAGCCTAAAACTGAATCTGAATATTTTATCAATCTCGTTTTACCTATATGTACATAAATATAAATATCCTAACTGTGTGACATATGTGGTTGACTTTCAATCAAAGTATACATTGCTCATTAACATACGTCATTTTAATACTAGTTCAAGCATAGATAATGAATGGAAAGTGAATATATTATTGAATTTCTGAACGAAATTATCAGACTTTGAAGATTTTACGATATAGTTTCGATTGGCAAGTAAATTGGTACGATAATAAACAAAGTCCCGGTTACCCAGTTTTAAAGTAACTTATTAAATTGCGATCGTGTTTCAATCCACTGAAAATCGCTATCATCCGATGGTTTAAAGAGATTATTATCGGCTTGTTACACGAAATACCTGCCATAGACAGATTTATCTCTTGCACGACGCATCCTTAAGTTTCAAAGTATATGGTCACTGGAGCGTCTTGAGGTATGAAAAATATAGCGAAACTTAGATATATGCATGTTATTCAGAGTGCATACTAAACGCATACCATTTATTCGTTTCGGGTAAATGTTACCTTTTCGTAATTAAACATATGGATTATTATCATAAATGTCATAGAAATAATAATATACTGCAATTTGTTGTTTCAGCCGTATTCCTTATCCCGTATGGAATTTTCATGATATTGTTAGCTTTTCCACTGACCTTCTTAGAGCTATCTCTTGGGCAGTATTCCGGGAAAAGTACCTATGACGTTTGGAACATCTGTCCGGCATTCCGAGGTATCGTATGTCATATTCTAAATAAAACAAAATCAGTTCCTATCCCGGTTAACGAATTAACTCTCACATAATGTTGATACCCCCCAGCTGGTGTAAAATAATGTATCAGTACATCAGCTAATTAAATATGATTTATATAGTATTCGAGGTTATTGTTAGGTTAGGGGTAGGGTCAGATCTAGTCGTTTGCATTAGGGGTATGTCAAAATCTACTGATATTTACTAACATAAGTACACATATATAATAATATAGCATAACCTTGAAAAGTAGGGCATCAAACCCTATTTTATATGATGTAATATAATCATTAGAACTCTGTAAAGGACAAACACAACATTTTCAGGCAATGGCTATAAGCCAGCAACAGCGCTGTAAACGGGGACAATTATTCCAGAGAGGCAATCATCCTGCTATAGCTCTGATTAACGATATGGCTCCTCCTTATAATGTACTAATAATCCAATCTGACCTGAAGGAGTTCCCCGTATGACTATCTAAACATTGTAAAACTCCTACTGAATTTACAAGGTTTCAGTGTGGCAGCTAAGAACATCTGAATTTTGATAGACTTCACCAAAGGAACTCAACTAGAACAGGCTCCCGATTCATGAAATGCTTGGTCAGATATGATCCCATAGGCATAATAAGTTTGTAATTATTTGTAATGACCAGGGACACTTATAAATCATTGACTAAAATTGCCCAATGCGCACAACAAATATGCCTAGCTAGTTACCACAAAAATTTAAGTACGAGCCTGAAATGCAATGATGGAGCTTGCTTTAACAAATGTTACAAGATAACGCCAGCATAAACGCAGGTTAACTCTATTTCATCATGCCGTCTACGCTACAATTTGTACATAATATTTTCAAAATCATTTTTTCTGGAATGTTTTTTCAAATCTCTGGCTATGTACTAAATTATGTTAGCTGGGAATTATATATTTTAGATATACTCAAATTTGTAACCAGAGAGAGAGAGAGAGAGAGAGAGTGAGAGAGAGAGAGGGGGAAGTAGGGTTTAACGTCCACTCGACACAAACTAGGTCATTTCTGGACTAACACATGGTTCAATTTCATTTCAATAATTCACTTGTGCGTAGGGGTTTTTAGCAGTGGGAGGAAAGCGGAGGACCCGGAGAAAACCCATGAGGTTGGACAGGTGACCCTACTCCTTGTCACGTACAACCGGGGAATCGAAACCACGCCCAGTTGACTCAGTGACAGGCCTTTTGATACAACGCGCACGTGCTAACCATTCGGCCATACAACCCCCAAATTTGTAATTACAATATCGCCTAACTGTATGTAGTGGTTTATCGTTACATGACCAAATGAAACTCTTAATACAATTTTTAAGGAGCAAAATAAATGTTTTATATAGCCAGGATCCTGAATGTACCCTTGCTCGTAATATATTGCTTTCTGGTTTTCTCTTTGTAGGTTTAGGAGTATCTATGAGTTTTATGTCGGGAATATGTAATTTATATTACCAAATGATTCTAGCTTGGATTTTATACTATTTGATTCATTCCTTCATGTCACCGTTACCATGGACAACCTGTGATAATTGGTGGAATACAGACACGTGTTTTCTTCATCAAAAAATGGCAAACAATTATACGGGAATGGGGATGAATGTTACAACCAATGTAACAGATAACATGTCGAATGTTACAGCCTATACGTTAGGTGATGCTGGATATTCCCTGATTACAGGAGAAAATAATACCAACATTTCCAATAGGGTCTACACTGCTTCAGAGGAATTTTGGAAGTAAGTCATATATACTACATACGTATCGCTATTAGTTACGTGTAAATATAAAATTTATTTACATAAGGAAAAGTAGTATTCAACCAAGCAATTTTAAACCAATTCCATCTTTTTCAAACAGAAAATCTTTTAACTTCTTATTTTAAACGCCAAAATATTATAAGTTAAAAGCCAAAATACTTGTTAAGAGAGAGAGAGAGAGAGAAATGGGGTTTAACGTCCACATGACACAAACTAGGTCATTTCGGGACAAATATATATGGTTTTAATTTATTTCAATAATTCGCTTTAGGGGTCTTTAGCAGTGGGAGGAAACCAGAGGACCCGGAGAAAACCCACGAGGTTGGACAGGCGACCCTACTCCTTGTCACGTACAACCAGGGATTCGAAACCACGCCAGTTAACTCAATGACAGGCTTTATGATACAGCGCACACGTGCTAACCATTCGGCTATCCAATACCCCGAATTAAAAAAACAAACCATAGTAATTTATATTCTTATGACTCACCTTACAGTACATTTGTCCACATAATACGCTTATCTATGTTTTCGCGCCACCCTACTTCAACGCTTTTAAATGATTTTCAGTCCGTTTCTCAAGCCTTGCAGAAACATGAATTCAGACTAGTACAAGACACAAGGATATTCCAAGTCTCTAAACTCATTCTAAAGAAAATTATATATAGAAATCACTTATGATCGACTTTAGGTAAGATTAGATAAAGCGGTGACAGTTAACGCTATACTAGTTAAAAATAGATAATGAAAAGAGAATATGTTGAAAATTTTAGTCAAATTACTTCACTCTAAGCCTAGTTGTCGACGATACAATTATAGCTTAGCCTATAACCGCATCCACCGCAAACCATATATAGTCAAATCTATTTAATATCGGAGGCATCCGATGGCATCGAGAATTGATTATGGTCCTGGTAAGTTAATTAATGTCTAATTAATAATTTATATAACATTTAAGACTTAAAGAAAAAGTTGCAATAGTCAGATTTAGCTCTTGCTTAATGCCTGTTTAAGCTTTCACTTACAAACACTTGACTGACCTGCAATGATAGAAATTTCAAGATATCTTTAGAAAATTTGATATGCTTTATCATAAATACAGAAAAGGTAATTATAAAAATTTAACAGGTGTCAGTGAGACCTTCTTCTTACAAGAAAATAATATTTTTGCATCAATAGATGATAAGACTTGCATAAGATGGAATTAGACATGTGTACGGTTATTATTTCTTGACTTGATCTTGTGTTCTCTTCACATCTCGATTAGACCAAAAAGGTATACAACAATCATTAATCGTTTCCTGTCAGTTAAACTGACTACCTCAAGTGAGTTGGGGAAAAATTAAATTGCATAGTACTTGCATTATAAGTTGTATTGTTCAACTTGGCAAATTACCAAATTTGCCTAGTTTGCTTCTAGCATTTCACAATTAGAATATGCTCAAAATTGTATTATTATAGGTATATAGAAATTTAAATAAGATAAGAAAACTAAAGGTCTTTATTATTTCTTAAATCTGTATTATTGTTAGTTATTTATTAAAATTCCCAATTCTGCAATATGGACAGAGCAATATTATCTTGCACACTGCCTCTAACCTATAGACAAATGACACTGATGTAAAACACTTAGCGGGAGCGCCCGGTTTGGCTATTATAGACGTCACTGATATAAACTATGATACTTTATTACGAAACCATTATGGTATGAATATATACATAAATGTGTCATGTACGGACGTCGCGAATCTATTTAAAATATTTTGTCAGTTTCATTTCTTTTCGGTTAATTTTTGACAAAATTATTATGTGCCAACGTTAGATGAACAGTAGATACTTTTAATGATCGAAGTTTCATCTACTGGCAACAGATCAAATTAAACATGTAGATAAAGATTACTAATAAGCATGTTGTATAGAGTGCCGCCAACCCCCAAACAGATCTCCCTAAACCGACAAATCTTATTTTAAAAGATTAATATACGTTGTTTTCCAGCTACAATGTATTAAGGATATCAAGTGGGTTAGAAGAGTTTGGTAGTGTGCAATGGCATATGGCTGTTGCACTCTTAGCTGGTTGGATAATCATATTTCTTTGCATTGTAAAAAGTGTGAAATCCGTAGGCAAGGTTTGTAACTTTATATAGAGTAGCATAATGTCGAAGACGGAGATCCCCGCGAAAAGTTTAACTAATCATTTTTACCACCCAAAGAAAGCAGCTATTATCGCTTACGCATTTCGAGTATTAACAGAATGGCAAACATGTAAAATTCTAAATGTTGACAATACTGTTATCAAACCTTTGAGAGCTTAGATTGCATAAACTAACTGGATCATTTTTACAACTATTTTAACCATTGGAGGCGAAATCCATTTACTTTTTCAAATTTTACTTACAGGTAGTATATGTGACGGCTACATTACCTTACATCATTATAACAATCATCTTAATCAGAGCTGTTACTTTACCTGGTGCTATAGATGGCATCAAATTCTACATAATTCCTGATTTTACTAAACTAGCTAATCCGCAGGTAACGAATTCTACATATTCCTGAGTTTACTAAAACAGTTCCAGGAGAAAACCCCACGGGGTTGCACAGGACACCCAACTCTTTGTCACGCCAGTGACAGACCTTATGATTTCACGCGTAGGCGTTAAACCACCCAACCTCCCTAAACATTGGTTATAATCTGTGTAACTTAAGATTCAAATGCCGACACGGAACTACTTCGCAAAAGAAATCAACACATGTAATTAAATTAATTCGGCAATCTTCTGTTTGGTCTAGAATAAAGGGGCCTATTCACATTATGCTATCGCATTTTATAGAAACGCAGGCATGGTTGAGCAAAGAGTGTACTCCGATGGTTCGATGCATTCTGATTTGGCATTAATTGTTATTAAAAAAAATGGTTAATGGTCGCAAGCTATCAAAATCGACAACCCAATTATAGTGTATTGTGAGGAGATATGGTAATAAAGTCAGGTAAACTTTGGCTAAATGAACGCTGTACAAATCAGTTTAAAAACCTATTAATTATTTGTGGACATTTGAAACTTGACACAATATAGAAGATTTAATAGCATTATTACCCGATGTTGTGGTATCATGGTGGTTTTGAACTATTGTTATTGTTGTTTTCATTTCAATATACATTACTCTTAAATATTTATTTCTGTTTTTAGGTATGGTCCCAGGCTTTGGTGCAGATGTTTTTTTCTATGGGTATGGGCTGGGGGGCATTCATCACCATGGCAAGTTACAATAAATTTAATAATAATGTCTTGAGGTAATTTTTAAATGTTTATTGTTATAACAGAGTATACCAATATTTAATAATATTTAAAATCAATGGTTCGGATGGGACGAAAAACCGAGGTCCCGTGTACACATTGGCGTGCACGTAAAAGATCCCTTGGCAGGTGGAATTCGATATAAGAGTAGGCCGTAGTGCCGCTGTCCGGGCAAAATTTCCCTCATAGCACACTGTATGGCGTATGCCCGTCTTCATTAGCCCAGGTTAGGAGCAGAACAGTAGGACGTTAAACTCCATTTCATTTCATTTCATTTCATTAAAATCAATGTTTGTATGTATATAATGTATAATGTTTCGTTAACAAGTTGTGACGTATATTCTATTAGATTTGGGGGACGAAATCAGTATTATTAAATTCAGATAACAATTTCGTTTCGTTTATGTGACTTGTTTGGTGTCTCATTTGAGTACAATATAAACAAGATTTTGTTTAACTAATCATTTTGTGACTACGCAGTCCTGACTAGGCTGTTCCACGACGTTATACAGTGTCAAAGGTTGCTTTTTGAGTCCCTTTAATCAAATCTGGATCATTAATGTCTTTTTCCGTCATTTTTATCTCAGAAAGTGTTGTACGTCTAACTCTTCATAAAGTTTATCAACTTGTACATCAAGCGCTCAATGTTCGCGTGTGACCTTTGACATCACGCGTGCAGAAATTCCTAATCGTTGGGCTGTCGATTAGGGGAACACTTACATACCCTCCATGAGTGTTTTTCGGGGAATCCAGTATTTTTCTAGTAAGATTGGATATCTCTACTTTCCATATATACCAAAACAGGAATACTTTTATTGGAAATAATCACCCGATAAATACTTTTCTTGGAACCCATCATTAACTGAACGATAATAAAGATTGTTGTGTGTAGACGGGTCTTAAATGTTGTCGATTTCGCTTAATGATAGACCCATCATCACTTTAGCCACGTTGACTATATTGTCAACAGTTTCTTCTTGTCCTTCCATCTGGTTCCACCGATGGTGATACCTCAGACAAGTTGTCTTATCTTTTTATGCTTAGCGCACGCGCAGAGGTCATTCCTGTGGGATGAAACCAGAGTACCCGGAGTACACCCACGAGGTTGAGAAGGTGCCCTTATCCGCAAGTCACACACCAAGGGTTGAAACCACGACCGTAAGCCAGAGGTGGCCGGCTAGCTAGAGCTCGAAGTGCTACACTTTAGACCACTAGACCCCCACCCCCGTCAAAAGTTTAATTTTACACTACATTATTACATAATTATCTAATATACTTTCTATCAGAATCGTCTTCGGTCAATGACTGTTCAACGTGGATAAACCTAATCATACCATAACCCAAATCTTAAAATTTACTCAATTCACCACAAAACGAAACCCACCCCAATACACATAATAAGTGTATTGCAGTACATCATTAAATATAAACAAAGCAAAACGGAATTGTCGAATTTAAGTAAATATTCTCAAAATTTAAAAGACTAGGGAAAAGAAACATCTCTGACTAATGCTTATGTTATATTCATAAGCTTCTTGTCCCTTAACTCCCCACTCTGAGTGTCGGTGATCACTTTGCTATTTCGGTTTATCAAATTTCCGGATTCATATGTATTCCTTCTTTGTTTTTCAGAGACACTATAATATATTGCTTTGCTGGCGAGGGGACCAGTTTTTATGCTGGTTTTGTTGTTTTCTCTGTTCTTGGTTTCATGTCACATAAGACTGGTTTAAACATTGCTGAGATTGTACGCACAGGTAATTCGTTATTTGAATTATTAGTCGTACCCAAAAACCCCAAAAGAAACAAAAATACAAAAGAAACCCACAACTTACCAGCACCCGTGAGTTTTTACGGTATAGTTTTGGAAAAGTCTTAAGTTATTGTTTTATATTGAACAGGTCCAGGTTTAGTGTTTATAACATATCCAGAAGCTTTGGGCCAATTACCATTACCACAGTTGTGGTCGATACTTTTCTTCCTAATGCTTGTGTGTGTTGCTTTGGATTCAATGGTAAGCTCTCCTTTTGTTACAAATACACAGTCCACCTCCATATAAAGACCCACAGAACCCGCCAAATATCTCTATTCGAGGATGATCAGTATATACGAAATTGATATTTTGACTAATTCCGCTAGGTCTTCCCATATTTCCAGTTACTTATCGGTACGTCGACCTCACTGGGTTTATATCTACAACGCCAATCAAGGGAGTTGATTTTATGTCAGTAGTTTTTAACCGCAGAACCGGTCATTAAACAATGACCATGGAAACTACTGTTACATGTAAAAACTAAACCAGTGTCTTTCATTTCTGCCTTACCTTTCCCCGAAATATGTTTCCTATTTCCCGAGTATAAAAATGATGTAAACCACTGGTCAAAATGCAATATTCAAACCATTATATCTAAATTATCTGTAAATCAAACAGACCGACGCCCTGCTAATAGGAAAACATCTAGTATATTCGCATCGATTACAAAGTATATAATTATGTGTTCATCAGATAGGACTTTTTATACGTTGCGATCCTTTTACATCTCCAAAAATGTGAATTTCTAAATGGACGTCTTGATAATCTGGCACCTCTCTTGGTTGATATGGGAGACGCGGTGGCTCAGTGAGTCAGACGCAGGCTGGTTAACCAGGGGGGCTCGGGTTCGCTCCCTGGTCTTTGGTATTTTCCAACGTATAGTTTCTCCATATCAGTTATGTTGGGTGGTGCGTCTGACAAGGAACAGTGTGTAGTCGTTCAGATCGGACGAAAACCGGAGGTCCCGTGTATACATTGGTGTGCATATAAAAGAACCCCTCACAGTAGGAATTCGAAACAAAGTGTAGGCCGTAGTGCCGCTACCCGGGCAAAATTTCACTCATAGCACACTGTATATCATATGCCCGTCTTCATTAGTCCAGTCGGTGTAGGACAGTAGGACATTAAACCTCATAGCATTTCTTAATTGATACTCTTAAACGCACAAACGGATCGATGACGTTTACCATAGGTTTTCAGGCACAAGTTTAAAGAAATGATATGATCAATACATTTCTATTTGTTATACAACAGTTTGTTACCGTGGAAGTATGCGTCACGACAATCACAGATTTGATACCAAAAGCTTCTTCAAAAATACGTGTTATGATAACAGCTGTTACTTGTTTACTGATGTTCCTCGTCACTTTAATATATGCAACTCAAGTAAGTTAACCTTTAAATAATACTAAATTAAAAATAGGATTCTTGAAATGTAACATTGACTACTCGCCTTGGTGTTCTTGTTCATGTTTTTTTGGGGGGGAGGGGGGAGGCGATCTGCCAATTCATGCATGATCGACATTAAACCAGGCATCACAATTTCAGGATGCCTGCGATGATGTCATACTCGGTTCCTGGTCCATAGTAACCAATACTTGTTCTGTGATCATTTTTAACATTTTATTGTTATTGCACATAACTTTTTAAAAGATACATGTACAGTGCTGTTTACTAACAGTTATAATTTCTGTGATATATTTTACTGTTTATTATGTTCGGTTTCTTGTTTTGCAGGCAGGGATATATATATTTCAATTAGTGGATTGGTACATAGCGGCCTTTACACTATTTCTTGTAACTGGTCTTGAGGCGGTTGTTATTGGGTGGATATACGGTAGGTGATTAAAAAAAATGTTCAGACGCAGTGTTTCGACTGACATTGGTGGACGTTTCATTGATGCTTGATTGACGTTTACATTATGTTTGATTTATATTTAGTTGATGTTAAATTGATGTTTGGTTGACTTGTAGTTGGTGTTTCTTTGATCATTGTTTAGTTGATGTTGGTTGATGCTTGGTTGATATTTGTTTGCCGTTTAGTTGATGTTTGTTCGATTGATGTTTGGTTGTCATTTAGTTGATGTTTGTTTGATTATTGTTTAGTTAATGTTGGTTGATGCTTGATTGATATCTGGTTGCCGTTTAGTTGATGTTTGTTCGATTGATGTTTGGTTGTCATTTAGTTGATGTTTGTTTGGTTGACGTTTAGTTGGCGTTTGATTGATTGGTGTTTAGTTGGTATTGAGTTGCCGTTTAGTTCGCGTGTGTTTGACTGATTTGATAAGTGATTGTGTGGTTAATGATATGTCTATTCCATATTTGGAATTTAGTACTTTGGTCAGTATATGACGTAAGCAACTAGGGCTTTGGCACCTGTAAAAGAGCAAAACCATGACTTGAATAAACAGACGACCATTTGATTCTCAGAAGGCCATGATGTAGTGGTTTGCAGAGTCTAGCCGTGCTTGTTAGACTGCTCATGAGTGGGGTGGAGAGAACGGCTTTAATGTATACCATTGCTTAAACCTATGTAACCTGTTTACATATAAAACTGTATACAAGAAACTATTGTATTGTTTTTTTCTCATAATCATACGATTTGGTTGCGGTAAATATGTCAAAGTGAAGTCCAAGAGTGGAGAATTACAATAACATCCATGCCAGAGTCAAACCACTAGACGACCAAGACTATTAAAAGATATGTAGCAGGGGAGTGCTACACACAGGGGTCCTTTTGATATTGGCATGTATCGAGCCGTAACTTCGTGGATTATGGCTCCTGATTGTACGAAAAATCACTCTAGAGGTCACAAGTCTTATCCAGTTGTTATGGAACTTAAAATGTATGTTTATAACCCAAAGATCTCGGTTCCTTTCGATATTTGCGCATATCGGACCGTAACTTCAAGGATTATGGCCCCTGATTGCACGTTAAATCGCGTTTATATCTGTCACATTTGGTATCCAATTTGGATAAAACTTAAAATATATGTTTATATCCCAAAGATCTTGGTTCCTTTTGATATTGTCGCATGTCGAAACGTAACTTTCTTGCTTATGGCCCCTGACTGTAGGAAAAATTGCTTTTTTAGCTTGTTTTCTGCCAATGTCTTGCAAAATGTGGGCGTATCTTGCATGGAAACCGTTTATAATTTTTGTGTATTTTATATTTTTATGTATTTTATATTTTTGTGATAAATGTCATATATATTTGATTACACCAATGACACGCTTTGTTGTTTATTAATTATATACTTACTACTTTATTAACAGGAGCTGATCGGTATTTTGATGATATGGAAATGATGTTAGGAAAACGACCAACAATCTTGATTAAGATTCTTTGGAAATTTGTGAATCCGGCCATTTTATCTGTAAGTGTTTACTACAAAATGCATCATGCCTCGTAAGGTACCCGTCTTCATTAGCCCAGTAGGCGCAGAACATTTGATTTCTCTTAATGGAACGAATCTCTAACAACCACACAACTATAAAGCAAACGTACACAAAGGAATATTTAAAAATAGACTTATTACACCGATATCTAGATTTAAATATGAATTTAAGCCCAGTTAATTAACTTTTGAATGCATTACATTTGGCCCAAGTGTCTAATCCTCGAATCTATTGAACGCGTCTGGAATTCTTATAATTTTGAGATTAACCTGTGGCTATTTGTATTTTTCTATACATATGTGCGGAATGTCAAAATATCTCTGGATTCAAAAGGCCAAGGGGTTTCTTTCTTACTTGCATCAGTTCCGATCCGAACTATTAAACAATCTATTTACCCCACGGGCATCAGAACCGGACTTGGGCAAGTGCATTCTAAGGGTATCTCGGCCAACTGCATGGATACACGCCAGACCATTATAAACATTGATTCCATTAAAATACCATTAAGGCACTTTCCATTAATTCACTGTCATTAAATGTAATTAAAAGTAGGACCTTAAACGTCCGTTTCAGTTCATTTCATTTATAATTATTTTTTGTTAACATGGATATATTTTGTAGATTAACCAACACAGTTTGTGGTATATATGAAGGAGCCATGCACTTCATCTTCAGATTATTAATAGTATGTTTTCTTCGAGAAATAAAAGCTCCCCACCCAATCCTCCTACGTATCCTAAAAATATTTTAAAACTTGTAGTAGTTGGCATCATATGCCTTCTTATGAGGTCCACGGCTGTCAGTCTGATTAAAATGTCTGTAAGCATTTTCACTTGTCTATTGATATCGAAAATAATGTTAAACTGGCAAAAATATTTCTTGGGGACGATTCCGGTATATCCGGCCCCACTATTTTACTAACAGGAAGCTGTTTCTTAGAAAAGAGACACAACGGCCCCCCTGTTAGCCCAATGCTAGATCAGAGTTTCAAGACTGTCTTCTAAAACATATTGTACCAATTAAGACAATGACGTAAATTAGAGCAGCCTCAGTTTAAAATTATATGATTATGTTGTTTTAAATATATACGACCTGGATACCAAAAGGAGGATGTTATTTTCTGATTTCAGGTAATTCTTGTATTCACTTTAGTTCAATACCTACCACCTACTTATGGAGACTATGTGTATCCGCCATATACTAGTGCTATAGGATGGTTTATAGCTTTAATATCGGCGGTACCTATACCTATATGGATGATCCGAGAATTCATTATGAGAAAAGGTCCATTGTTACAGGTAAGCTTGAAAAGACAGTAGCCTGATTTTTTTATTTATCCTGCCTGCAAATAGAAAGGACTAAATTGTCCTGCCGATTCGTCACAATACAATTGTAGCAAACATGAATAACTATGTCATATATTCAGTAACAAATATCAACTATTTATGATTGCTATTTATTTAATTTTCGAAACACTTAATTACCTACTCTTTGTATATACATTGTAAATGCAAACAAACCTTAAAATATTTTAATCTGTAGTAGTCTACAGCAACGGCCAGCTCTGTCAAGGTATCTTAACATTTATCGAATACAACGAACGTACTTTTCTGTACAGGTGTCGGTGCAGAGTTATCGCCCTTGAGACACGATCGAAAATAACCCATAAAACATATTCCTGTATACTCTTTAATTCCCTTATTAATCTACATACATCGGATGAGTAAATTTTTATATCGATCTGGGAATGGCTGCCATGATTGGTGCACTTATCTGGGCAATACGCGTTTATGGTAACTATCACAATACAATAAAGCCTACCAAGGGAGTAATACCATGACGTGTCAGTCCACCCCTAAACAGAAATGAAATGGGGTTTAACGTCCTACTGTTCTGCTCCTATACTGGGCTAATGAAGACGGGCATACGCCAATTAATATACCTAGTCACAGAGAAGGAGCCCGCGAATATGGTAGGCCCGGGGGCCCCTTAAGCAGTTTATGTTCTCGCATAGTTTTAGGGCAAATTATAGTCTTGTGTTTACGTCGTTTTAAATAATTGGTCAGATTACTATTTACTAAGTGTGTACATCATCTATGAACACCAAAAGAAAACAAAATTCGCGGGGTCAGGCTCGTGGTCCATCCCTGCTTAGTCGAATACGAAAAGTATGTCTGTAAAATATTTACCACCTTGTATTGACTTGTTTAATTTGGAAAAGGGTCAGGGATTAATGCTAACTTGGTAAATCGTAATTTCAGTAGGGTCACCCTTATTTGTTTGTTTCAGAGAATAAAATCATCGTTTGAACCCAGCGAAGAATGGGGCCCTGCAAAGGACTATAAACTTGCCAGTGAAGCAAGTTCTGAACAAAATCTCTGAAAATTCTACTATTTATGCATTAAATGGTTTGTAAATACAGACCTGGAATGATTAGTCATTTTTATGATAATAGTTTCTTTTGATTCATATTTTACTTCATAGTCGTTTTCAATAATTGCAGCATAAATCTCTGATTGACTGAGATTTATCATCTATTGGACAATAGAATATGGCTTCCGTTTTTGAAATCCACATCAGTTTAGTTGACTTGTGCCTATTTCAACTAAGAATGATTTTCCAGTTACTTAATTGGCTGCTGTATCCTTCATTTTATCCACTACATGTCTTCGTCGTTGTTTTGGTTGGTGGCAGAATTTACCAAGTGGTAACGTAAGATTACGTACGTAGGGTTCAGGAACGTTGTCAATATTTGACGAAAAGTTCCATTGCCAATGCGTAACGGGAGTTTTTTTTATGTGGTTGATTATCCAGAATCTTTGGCCAAGTCAAGTAAGAGTTGCACCCCTTCCCGCAATAAATCCCATAATTCTTGCATTATCATAAACAAACATAAATCCTAACGACGAATTAGGATTAATTAAAAAAACATATGGCCCATGAAGAGAGAAATTTTACAATAAAAAAAAGATTAAGAGTGTTGGATTGAACTGGCAATGCAATAAAATGGATTTTCTGAAATGACATGATTAATTTCATGGGCGTAGACATCTTATTTTAGGACTAGTTACCTCCTTTAGACTTTATTTATTTTAATGTAAAAGACCGGATAATCTAGCCAATGACCAATTGTTCTCGAATGTTAACAACGCATCCAGACTAATATTCGTAGAATATTTTTGGGGGATGATAGAGACTATACTGCTCTATGTCACAGCACAGAGCAGTATTAACGGCATCACCGATAACAGATGCCCAATGGTCACCAAAGAAACATATGTTATGTGTTATGTTTTTTCTCGAATAGAGAAGATTTGACTTAAACTCAAGATATAAAAATACATCTTAGTGAGAAATTTTATTTACAAAATAACACCAACCAAATTATTTGATAATGTGATTTTGGGTATGTGCTAACGAGACCAATGGATCTAGACAGTGTTATTGTTATAATTCTTTGTTTTGTGTTGATTTTACATAAACATTAATAAAATAAAGTGTAATAAAAACAGTTTGTGTTTGTCAAACAAACTCCCAACCTTAATGGTTAAATGTAGGGGTTTATTTTTGCTGTGTTTTGTTTTTTTTTCTTTTGGAGGGGTGGGGGGATGATTTCGTCTTTTTTGATTAAGGTTGAACGACTTCCCCCACGCCCTCCCCTCCCCTCCGATCTCCTATGGTGGAGGCCCTTAACAATTTTCTACAAGTACATACAGTTGTTAACGGAAATAGGCCTGTAGATCCACTTGGTACGGCAGCCAAACCCCAATATAAGCACTGACATGGACACAGAGTCCCTCTAATGTATCATCCTTGTGGAATATTCGAGATGCCCTCCATGGAGCATTTTCTGTTTATTTAGTCAGGTAAAATTTAAAACATAATAATTCTCTCGGAACTCGGTTTGAAGGTGGTTTCTATAAGAATGTGACACTCTGAATCCAATTATCTTTGGTAACACTCCTAAAAGTGACGGCTAAATCCGGTAGGGAGTCAAATTCAACTCATTTTGGCGGAAAAATCATAAACGTCCCTCATATGGGAGTAATATTTTGAAATATGGGTTTTCGAGATTTCCTAATTCAGATATAAACGTACATTTGGATTGTCGTTATTACACTCGCTGTTAATCCAATACCCTGGCCCTGTTGTGCTGGAACGGACCCGAATATAATAGGAACCCCCCCCCCCCCCACCTCTAAGCGGAAGTTTGAGTGGAGCGCAACCAATGGATACAAGATTTCACCTTGGCTTACACCTGTTGTGCTCCAAATGAAATTTGAAAAAAAACATCATTATTGTTCTTCTCCATTCGAAGAAAGCAAGTGACTGTCGTAGTGCGTGTCTGTCTGTCCTTCAAACTTTTCAGCCAGCACTTACTCACTCTACTTCTACTCTTCTACAGAAAATCATTGGATATGGACTTGGAAGTTTTAGGTACCACCTGGATGATTTTGTTATATCAGAAATGGGAATGGGACTCAGTGGTCCAGTGGAGTCGGGGATTTTTTAAAATATAGGGGTTGGGTGTCAAGTGCTCCATTACAGTCAAGGATTTGTTCCTGGGGTTGCAGTCTTTCATAAATGAACAAGCCAACAGTGAGGCTGATGTCCCCCGCCGAAATCCCCAAATAAATAGATGGCACATATTAATTAATCGCACATCTATTTTTAACAAAAGTATCGAGCAATCAAACTGATTATCAACTATACACTAAGTTTCATCACTCTCTATCAGATTGAATCAAAGTTATCTTGTCCCTTTAACAAAGTATCGAGCAATCAAACTGATTATCAACTATACACTAAGTTTCATCACTCTCTATCAGATTGAATCAAAGTTATCTTGTCCCAAAGCATCGACCAAGGAAATTGTTTATCTCTGCTTAGCTTTAGCTCAATATGTTAATCATTGAACTCAGACAAGACGAACATCTACATCAAGTTTAAACATTCTACCTCAATTAAAAGCAGAGTCGTTATGTTCGAAAGTCTTGACCAATCAAAATGCTTATTGCTCCTTAGCCTAAGCAGACAATTCTCATCATCGAACTTAGTCAAGGTATTGATGTAATAAAACTATACACCAAGTTTCATCACTCTCACTTAATTAGAACTAAAGTTATCGTGTCCCAAAGCATCAACCAATCAAATTGCCTATCTCTACTTACCATAAGCAGAAAATGCTCATCTTCGCACTCTATCAAGGCATTGACCTCATAAACACCTACACCAAGTGTGAACATTCTAGCTCAATTAGAAGGAGAGTTATTGTGTTCCAAAGTCTCGGCCAATCAAATTGCTTATCGCTCTGCTTACACTGAGCAGAAAATGCTCAATATCGAACTTAGTCAAGGTATTGATGTAATGAAACTATACACCAAGTTTCATCACTCTCACTTAATTGGAAATAAAGTTATCGTGTCCCAAAGCATCAACCAATCAAATCGCTTATCTCTATTTACCCTAGGCAGAAAATCCTCATCTTCACACGCCATCAAGGCATTGACCTAATAAACACCTACACCAAGTTTGAACATTTTTAGCTCAATTAGAAGGAGAGTTATTGTGTTCCAAAGTCTCGGCCAATCAAATTGCTTATCGCTCTGCTTACCCTGAGCAGAAAATGCTCATTATCGAACTTAGTCAAGGTATTGATGTAATACAACTATACACCAAGTTTCATCACTCTCACTTAATTAGAACTAAAGTTATCGTGTCCCAAAGCATCAACCAATCAAATTGCTTATCTCTGCTTACCCTAAGCAGAAAATGCTCATCTTCGAACTCCATCAAGGCATTCACCTAATAAACACCTACACCAAGTTTGAACATTCTAGGTCAATTAGAAGGAAAGTTATTGTGTCCCAAAATGTGTGACGGACAGACAGACAGACAGACGGACGAACCCATTTTAATAGTCCCCTGCTTTCTTCGAAAGGCGGGGGACAAATATGTGAGTACATGTAGGTCGGTACAGTACAAGTCTGTCACGACGATCTGTGTATACGCCGGTTAAATTTACCCTTCCTGGACCCGACCTTTGACTTAAAAACTAATTTAGAAGGGTTGTGTTACCCTGTTACATCAGGATTCAAGACTAGTTATTCTCTCCCTAGTGACTTCAATGTTAAAATCTATGACATTTCTTAGACTGTAACATTTTTTGAACATCCTGATGATCTTAATCTATACTTACAGCAAAAAAAAAAACGTCAGTACGATTTCAAAATCAGAGAGGCACTTTAATCAAATCATCCTAGAATACGACTTACTAAATGGATCAAAGCAATTTTTTGTGAACAGTATGTATGTTGACACATTAGTGATTAATGCATCACAATTCCAAGACATTACGAGAAGGTTTAGATTCTGTACACAGTCTATACATCAGTATCTGGCGTGTCCACCGCAAGTGTCAATAACAGCAGCGCAACGTATGTACTTGGAGTAGACCAGACGATTGATGAACGCCATTGGCACCTGGAACCACACTCTCAGAAAGCCTGGCGCAATCCATCGGCTGCGTTTCGTCTCGGTACGACGTTATTAAGTCTCCTCTGAATTTCATCCCAAAGATGTTCAATCGGGTTTAAGTCCGGACTAAGGAGTAACTCTGGCGGTGTACGGGCGTTGTCATGCTGGAAAACATTGTTTCGATGACGTGCAAAATGTGGTATGACGTGGGGTCTGAGAGCTTGATGGATGAAGTGCACTGCTGTGATGCCGCCTCCTCTCCCTGGACCAAGATTTTGGAACACCACATTGCCTGTGTCACCAGTTCTGGTGTTGTTGGGCTAACTGTAGACGTTCATGTCGATGGCGAGGGTGAGGATAGGTCCACGGTAAGGTCTACGGCAATGGATGTTCTCTCTGGTAAGACGTCGGCGCACTGTATCGGTACTGATGGCTGACGTGCTGTCTCAGATGCCTGTGTGAAGGGATTCTGCGCGTGCTGGCGCACAACATGGCGGTCTTGTCGCCTTATGGTAACCCTTGGTCTACCAGTTCGGGGGAGATCAATCGTTGTGTTGGTGGCCCGAAAGCGTTGCTGAAGCCTGTAGATGGTCCTAACATTGACCTGGAAGTGATTGGCAACGGCTTGGGCAGTGTGGCCAGCGTCGAGTCTTACAAGCGCCTGGTTCCTCTGAGCTGTCGTGAGTCGTGGCATGCTGCTGACGTTGTAGTGTGAATGATTCAACCAGGTATGGGGGTGCATTTTATAGGGCTGGTCCCGGCGAAGAGCACGTGCAGCATGAGTTACATGAAAATCATGGTTCACACATTACCATGTCAGAAGTCAGGTTGCGTTTTTGAGAACATTTCTTGGGTTCAATTGTCTGTTTGGGAAGGAGCCTTATTGCTCAGGTAAAGTTGGAGATGTTGTCACAAATATACAATAAAAACATTTGGCACGTTTTATGCAATGCGTCTTTCAGATTAACATACCAACATGACGTTTCCTTGGCTGCTTATTATATATTAAACTATTGAAGAGTGTTGACCATTAAAGGATTTTCATAATTATGTCCGCATATTTCTTGGTCCTTAACCCCAATTTTGCAGAAAATACCATACAAAAGTGTGTAAAAGGGGAAATTACTTAAAGATACATTATGGACGATTAGATAAAGAACTGGCAGTTCTTTCTATAATAGTTAAAAACTAAATAATGAAACGGGAATTTGCTGAAAATTGATCCACTCTGAACCGAGATTTTAGCGATTGCATTTATGGCCTAGTCTCGATCACCATTACTACAATCGGTACGATTATTCATTTTATGATTAAATCATGAATGGAAGTTGAGTGGCAAATCGGATATTAATCCAGTAAATATCACAGGCTAGCGTTGTCATCGAGAGTGGATTATGGTCTGGATAAGTTAATTAATGTCTAATTAATAATTTAGATAATGTATGTTTAATTAGAATCAATGTTATCGAGTGTCAAAACATTCAGCAATCAACTTTCTTACATAGAGTTTGAAACAAAAAGTTGAATTGATCATTTGTATTCTTTGATATGGATAAATGTCACTGTAGCACTGTTTAGTAAATAGAGAATCTCCTACCAGTCTCTTTTAATATCAAAAAATATCAACACAAGTTATAAAGTAACAAAAAACGAGACTCTGCCGAGTTTTTTTTTACTTTATCAACGAGTGTTGATATTTTTTGATATCAAAAGAGACTGGTAGGAGATTCTCTATTAACTAAACACAAGTTATAAAGTAACAAAAAACGAGACTCTGCCGAGTTTTTTTTTTACTTTATCAACGAGTGTTGATATTTTTTGATATCAAAAAAGACGAGTAGGAGATTTTATTTATCACCCAATCCCTTCTTACATGCACAAATAGATAAATATAATTCTTTGCTGTAGATTTAACTTTTACTGAACATTATGGCGTAGTGATACATCATTTTTTGACAGCAATTCAACCATTGCAAAGTCCTTTATATTGACCCAGTGTTTCCATCAAGGTCAATTGAATAACAATAGTTCATTTTTAATATTAAAAAAAGGTACTTTTAATAAGAAATGAACTGTTCTTTGAAAATAAAATCAAATTCATATCACACAACCGATATCTACTGTAGAATGTATTATTTGGTGATAAAGCAGATGTAATCTACACAAGCTAGGATATGCGCAAGTGGCCCTTGGACACGCTTTATGAAAAATAGTCACGCATTGACGAGTAGCCATTTATATCATATAGCGACTGGGACCATCAACATTTCACAACGATAAACTATTTTCAGATCAGAAAATTTAGAGCGTGGGAACAGATAACATGTGTGAAAAACAGAGGGTAGCTATGGTACAAACCAAACCTGACAGGTTGAAGTGGAAGAGTAAATTCGAGTTTTTACTGTCCCTTATAGGATATAGTGTAGGATTGGGTAATATTTGGAGATTTCCGTACCTATGTGCTTTGAACGGTGGAGGTTGGTATCATTTATATTTTTTGTCATGTCCCATATACAATACACCGAATATAAAACGTATACTTTAGTGATCGTAAATAAAACTACAGGTTAGTTCGTTTCTACAGCTTTATTATTAAACTGCTTGCAAGGCGTCTATGTTTATCGTTCTTAATAAGGTATAGATGATAGCTGCTAGGAATATCTGGGTGAGTTCTGACCAATTTCGCTCAACACCCGCTTTTATAAGCCCCTTATTTCTGTACGCCATATACTGACCCTGGCGTCAATTTCCTTTCAAAATATGGAATAAACACCCCCATTCTCCCAGGACCGAGGGAGGGGCGGGATTGGTCGGGGCGGAGAACATTACCTTAACTGGTCTACCAAACACGTGTCATAAACAGATAGAATTTGATGGATATTTTGACAATGGTAAGGATTTTACAAAAATATCACTGTTTTTATATATATAAACATGTCAATCACTTTCATTAGTACGTAGGATTTGACTCTATAGAAAGTGTGAACCAGAGAGAGAGAGAGAGGGAGGAGGTTTAACGTCCACTCGACACAAACTAGGTCATTTCGGGACTAACACATGGTTCAATTTTATTTCAATAATTCGCTAGCGCATAGGCATCTTTTAGCAGTGGGAGGAAACCGGAGGACCCGGAGAAAACCCATGAGGTTGGAAGGCGACCCTACTCCTTGTCACGTACAACCGGGGAATCGAAACCACGCCAGTTGACTAAATGGCAGACCTTATGATATAGCGCGCACGTACTAACCATTCGGCCATCCAACCCCTCAAGTGTGAACCAATAATTAGTTAAAGATACAATATGGTCTTAAGGACCAAAGTTTTACAAATGCAAATTCGTGACAATACATATTAATCAAATTGGAATATATGAAAATATCCATAAATTAACAGGTGCTGTAGAAATAGTAAGCATGCCCTTTCCGACGCCCAAAACCCCCATAACTAATTTGATCGCTCGTTTTTGCTAAACAATTTTTATGTTTGGATTTACTGTTCTATTGTACAGTTTCGATTGTTTCTTTTTTTTTCAGCGGTATTCCTTATTCCGTACGCCATATTTATGTTTTTATTGGCGTTTCCACTATCATTTTTGGAACTGTCAATTGGTCAGTTTTCTGGTAAAAGTACATACGATGTGTGGGATATCTGTCCAGCATTCAGAGGTATAATATATATTAATAACATAAATAGTATTCTCAATTAAGCATGCTTCTTTATGTAATATGTCATCCATGGCTGCGCATTATGGCACCTATTGAATAGGGCCCTGCTCTTAAATGAATAGAAATTTATAGAATTGTTATCCAAGCTATTTTCGTTATTGTTTGTAATCTTTTAAAATGTTCACGTGTCATTTTAACTATTTTCGTAAGACTTCTGTTGCAATAAATCGTACAATGTTTTAACAACGAACATATTATTGCTACATGAAGGACTGAAAAATAAATTAGCTGTAGTAATAATAACTAGATCTGCAAGGCAGATATGAAAGCTTTCATATTCATCGTCACATGTCTTGGATTATATCAAGGATCTTAAAAAGAAGAAATACTTAGAGAGAGAAATGGGATTTAACGTCCACTCGACACAAACTAGGCCATTTAGGGAAGAGAGATAAATAAGGTTTAACGCCCTCTCGACACAAACTAGGTCATTTCGGGAGTAACATATGGTTCTTTTTTTTTAATAATTTGCTTGCGCGTAATGGAGTATGATGGAGTATTGGAATGAGATGAAATGGAGTTTAACGCCCTACTTTTCTGCTCTTATTTCGAATGCCAACTGCCAAAGGATCTTTCACGTGCAAAGAAATGTGTTCACGGGGCCTCGCTTTGTCGTCCCATCCGAACGACTAGACAACTGTCTTTGTCTTGCTCTCTGTCTTGCACTACTGACAAGTGGAAACCATGCTGGAAAATCCCAATGAACACGTGCTAACCTTTAGACTATCCAATCCCCTCGAAAGAATTATCAAAATCGGTCACAAATTATAACGAGAAACATTTCACCCCTGCGAAAAAAAATAATCTGAAATATAAAGTGAAAAATACTGAGACATACTGGAAGTTTAAAACGAGAAGGTCATGAAATGAGCTGAAAATGGCGGGAAACAATTTTTAAAAAATTAAGTGGAATCGGATCGACATGAGCTATTCGAATATATAGGTCAAAAGTTTTTGAGATGATTCAATAACTTCCGGAAGATGTTTCCAATGTTTAGACTCATTCAAATTGGAACAAATAGTTGTATATAAAGACCGTCCCATTCTTAAACCTATTTTCGTACGCCCAAACGTATCTTGGGCGTGTATTATAGTCGTCGGTCCTTTGGTCCGGCGTCAACATTAGAGGCTAGAGTTTTTGACGGATTTGGTGTGATCGCTGCAAACCTTGAGAGGATAATCGCCATTCGATTTTTTTCAAACTTGGTATGAAGAATCGGTACCAGGATCCCTGATGCTTTTCGGCTTTCTCTGATTTTCTGTAGAATACATATATTCTGTAGAATACATATATTCTGTAGAATACATATATTCTGTAGAATACATATATTCTGTAGAATACATATATTCTGTTGAATACATACAAGGGTTATTTTAGTTCTAAAAACATAGTTATGGCAACACTGTGTTCCAGAGTTAATTGATCACTGAGTAAAAAAGTACACAACTAAAGTGAAGTCCTACCGAAATACACGACAGTGTCAGTGTCACATTATTCTTTTTGGCGACCAGGATAGTGTCACGTCAAGAGCTAATCAATTAACACGCTGAGACGAAATTATGAAGAGTATTCTTTTATTGATTGGTAGTCAATGGAAATATTTAAAGGGGGTTGGGGTGGTAATGTGAGTGTATTTTTCTCCCTCTCGTTCTAGATATCTATACTAACAATCTATTGCAGTAATCAATCCTCGAAAATACCAAAGAACTTACGATATTAATAACTGTTTCTTGGCTAATCTAGTGCCTTATATAACCAATGTTCCTTAGCTGCAATAAGCATTTACGTCAAAATTCATGATACATTTGGCTCAAAGCGGGACCCTTAAATTATCCAAAATAATACAATCGTTGCATCCTTAACAACCGCATCACTCGAACATGTATATTTGTTTCTAATAGACGACTACACGTTTAAATTGATTGTCATTTACGCAATTTAACATCTGAATAATTAGACCGTAGAGCAGAGGGTAATTTGCAATCATTTGTGTATCATCTGCTAATGAATGTTGTTATATACAGTAATTATCGATCAGCTGTCCTAAATTCTTGGTACACGTCACAAAAGGAACAGGTCCAAGGACTCATCCTTGTGGAATTCCTCGTTTAACTGTATCTACTAGAACATATTAGAGTATTAGCGAGGTGAGAATCAAACCTCATTTAAGGATGCATTATGTAAGATTTCGATAGAGTTAAGAGGGAATATATTTAAAATTACTTCCTTCTGAGCGAAGAATAGAATAGTCTTGATCCAATATCAACTGCCGTTCGCGTTGTTTAAATCCGTTGAAAATCGCAACCATCAGATGTCTTAGAGAGTTGATTATGGCCTTGACATGTGAATAAATATCCAATTAATGATATATATTTGCTGCCAAACGAAAGATCTGCTATAGGCATATTCAGCTCTTACATAATGCAACTTTAACGTGATACAGTTTAAACAACCCAGTAGCTTGTCATGATTAATAATATCAAAGACAGTGGCTAAACCCAAGATGACCAGTAGGAAAATACCTCTAGCATCTACAGACATTTGAATTATCAATGATAACTCTTAACAGTCGTATGACTGTGGTGTGTCCAACGCGATATGGCGATTGAAGATCATGATGAATTATCCGTGGGTTGAGACTTGTAAGCCTTCTCGTGTGAAGGGCAAATTGGAGATTTCATAACGATTGTTTTATAACAATGAAACTTGAAGATCGGGTCAATCCCATTTCTTTCCAGCAAACTCGGAGGTAGTAATGGAAATAAATAGCATTTCATCGAATTACTTCATTTTCGTAAAATAAGCCTGATGCACTGCGATAATGCCCTACCAAATTTTAATTGGAAATAAGATATCCTGCTGTTTGAGGGTTTATCCATTCGTCGGCATGAAGTCCTGGGAAAAATAACCAGAATTCATGAACGTATAAAGAATGTCCTTATCTGTAGTGAAATGGGCAGGGTATTAGTTTATTCATAATGTAATTGGAACGAAGAAGTCGCTTTAAAATGTTTTATAAATCACAGATATATTATTTTGCCAGATAGAAATGAACATGCTATAATTGCTGATAGGATATCATTGTTATGGAAATAGGTCCACATTGGTCTTCTTAAACATATATAAATCTCATACTGTTATTATAAAAAACAAAATTGTTCAGCCAAGGGAGTTATTAATTTACCTAACAGGATCTTGCTTTATGTCTACCAAAGAAATTAAATGAATAGCAGCTGGAGACATGGGCTATCTTTTTAACAGTAATTTTATCTGATTTTCCTTTGTAACTTAAACCATGTCTAACCTAAAAAAATATTGTTAAATGCTATACGACTCCTTGGATTGTTAACATAATGTTTTTTTTTAGGGATATCATCCGGATGGTCGCGCTCATTTTATGCCGAATAATAACATGATACTGATTCTGTTTGTCTTCTATATATGGAAGGTTGCTCACATACAATAACAGTTATATACAACGCATATACACGCAAGCCCGGCTAAGGAGAGACCTGTACTTGTCTCCCCTCCAGTCTGGAGCCCCGGTTGCGCAGTAAGTAAGACGTTGGTTTGCTAACCTGGAGGTCCCGCGTTCGATCACTGCATTGGCCGGGATTTTCCGGCGTGGTTACCCAGATGTCAGTGGTAAAGTGGTATAGTCGTTCGGATAGTAAAAAACACTGATATCATTTGAACAGATTATCGTGGTCGTAAAGGAACCTTGGCTATTGGAAATCGATACAAGAGAAGGTCGTAGCGCGTCTGTCCGGGCAAAATGTCCCTCATAGCACTCTGTATGGAGTATGCTCGTCTGCATTAGCTAAATCGGAGCAGAACAGTAGGACGTTAAACTCCATTTCATTTCTGCTGCTGTTATGCCGTTGTTATTACAATTTCAACATTTATTCCAATACATTAGTTATGATATTATGAACAGGTTGATTTAATAAAATCATTTACATATTAATCGGGCAACAAACGACAAAAACTAAAAAAATAGTTCTTATGAAACAAATAAAATGTCACTTTAAAACACGGCGTATAAATTCGCTGTTAGGTGGGCCTTCGATCCCCTTCGTCGTTAAAAAGTCCCTTCTACAAAATAAAATCAAGTCAACACATGAGTTAGAAAAATGCGGGTAGAAAAATAAAATAGTCTATTAAAAGTTACCTGAAAATAGCAACATAAAACAAAACAATTATTAGCATATATAAGAGCAATAGATCATATCAAATCTATTTCTTATACACATATCCATACATATGTATATGCATTATCACCATTAGTATCTCGTTGTGTATGGCCGTTTTCTTTCCTAATATTTTATATTAAATCATGCTCCGGAGATTAAACCGCCACGCTGCCCCACAACTAGATATGTACTTGCATTATTGTTAATTTATTCGGATGTTATTAAAGCACCAAAATGGTTTAGCCGCAAACCCGGTTCATTTCTCCATGTCCATTTAAGGGGTGCTCCATTTAGCGCAACTAACTTCACAGATAATTCACGATCTTCTATGAATTTGTAATTCACCCTATAAATCTTATAGATAGATAGATATAATACTAAGGAGATAGAGGGTTGTATATTAAAGCTTCGTCTCTTCAACTAAATGTTTTAAAGGAGTCTTTTCTCTACCAATTTATTGCACGCAGTAACGCATGACCAATGGTTAAATTGTTGCCACATCCGCACTTCACATGGTTATAGTTTTGATCCACTATTAAATGTTTAGTTCTCAGTCTTGAGATTAGCCCACTAGACTTACAACTGGATTATTATTCAATTTGAATCTGATAGTATATGTACTTGTCAGCTCATTTCGCCTTTCTGATTTACTTAATTATTGTTTTAACAATACTGTTAAGAACGCGTCCGCGAGAAAAACCTAGGGGTCAGCCACTTTTATTCATACTTGATCTATAGGGACCCCT